CCAGCCAGGCACTGCAGCATTTTGGAAGAAGTAACTAGCTAGGGAGGCGTAAGGGCCCCTGAGGCACACGAGAAGCTGGACTTGAATTAATACAGCCTTAGGCAGGTGCGTGTTTCTTACCCTGGGGACAGAGCCAAAGAGAGACCCCCCTTTCAAGGGGTAAGTGGGGAGTGTGCCCTGTGCCCACCCCTGCTTGGCCTCCATACCAGCTAAGATCTAAACTTCCAGCCCATTCAGGCCACTAGGGTGGAAATCCAGAATTAATGTCGTTGATTTGGGGGTGATTCTATTTGGGGGAGGTGTGCAGGACAAGGGATGTCTCCACAATAGACCACATGATACTCTGCTTTGACACTTTTCACAGGGGTCCTCAAATTCTTTAAACAGGGGGCCAGTTCACTGTCCCTCAGACCGTTGGAGGGCTGGACTGCGGGCCCTGGGACCAGTCAGCTGCTAAGCAGGACAGGCAGCGGTGGCAAAAAACACCCAGGGGGCCAGATAAATGTCCTAGGTGGGCTGCATGTGGCCCATTTGAGGATGCCTGGGTTAAGGAGGGAGCTGCTAAGAGCTCCCTAAGAGCTACTAAGCAGCTAAGAGCTGCTCTTAGTTGTACCAAGCGCGGTTCCAACTTCAGAGACACAGAGGTAGACCAGACCCTGCCTGCTTTCCTCTGCGGGAGAAGAACTCTGCTTGATTCTATTTCTTGCTTGTGTTTGCTGGAGCTTGTGCCACATTTATTTTGTGGATGGTTGTTTTCCTACTTCAGGGACACTGAACTCTCTATCAGAACCAATCAGTGTAAAGTAAGTTTACTGCTGTCTTCAGAATTTGTCCTTGGGTAGTAGCGACCTTGTTAAAATGCAGGGCTGGCGTGCCAATGTGCAAGATTCTCTTGTCTTTTTGAAAAGAGTTCAAGGTTTTGGGGAGCAGGGAGGTGTGATAGGAATGGAAAGGATTGCAGATAGCAAGATCACAAAGCTGGTTTTCCTGGAAGCAGGAAGGTGAAAAGCCCAACCCAGGATGACTTGGACAAGGGAAGGCTCGGGCTAGAGGTGCTTGGCATAAAACAGGTGTGGTGGCTCACGCCTGTAATCTCAGCACTTTGGAAGGCTCAGGTGCGAGGATTGCTTGAGGCCAGGAGTTCAAGACCAGCCTGGGCAACCCATGGAGATCTTGTCTTTATTAAAAAACAAAATTAGCCAAGCATGACAGCAGATGCCTGTAGTCCCAGCTACTCAGGAGGCTGAGGTGGGAGAATCACTTGAGCCCAGGAGGTTGAGGTTGCTGTGAGCTAGGATGCCACCTCGGCACACATCAACCTGGGCTATAGACCAAGACCATGCCTCAAAAAAAAAAAAAAAGACCTGGCGCCTGTAGCACAGTGGTTATAGCGCCAGCCACATACACCAACAGTGGTGGGTTCAAACTCAGCCTAGGCCAGATAAACCACAGCTAAACAACTGCAAGAAAAAAATGTCTGGGTGTCAGGGGCAGGCACCTGTACTCCCAGCTACTTGGGGGGCTGAGACAAGAGAATCCCTTAAGCCCAAGAGTTTGAGGTTACTGTGAGCTGTGACACTACAGCACTCTAATGAGGGTGACATAGTGAGACTCTGTCTCAAAAAAAAAAAAAATTAAATAGGCTTTGTACAAACTTGGTCATGTACAGAGCATGGTTATCTGACTCTGTGGAATTGGCTTTTGACTCCCTTCACATTAAACTTGCAAAATACAGCGTTTCTTTTTTTGTGGCTTTGGTTTGGAGGTGGGCTTCTTTGCAAAGTGTCTCCTGTATTTATACAGACAGAGGGTGCCAAAAAACCCCACACATTTTAAGAACGGAAAACATTAAAATGATAATAGTTAATACACACCGATAACAGATGATGGACAGGAGTCACATTGAGTGCCTCTTATAAAGGCATTTCTGCCTTCTCCTCCCCCGGCAGCCCTTTCTGTCTCTGTGAATCTGACAACTGCCCGAGTCCGGAAAGAGACAGTGCGTGTCCCTCCGTGACAGGCTTATTCTGCTCAGCGTAACGCCCTCAAGCTTCATGCTTGCTGTACCATAGCTCAGAACTTCCCTCCTTTCTGAGGCTGAAGAATATTCCACAGTTCCCCCACTTGGCTATTGTGAACTATGGTGCCTTGAACACAGGTGTACACCTGTCTCTTCAAGACCCCGCTTTTCAAGTCTTTTGGTTACACGCCCAGAAATACCGTTGCTAGATCACATGGCAATTCCGTGTTCAGCAGTTGAGGAATCACCTTACTCCTTTGCAAGGCAGTCCCAGCGTTTGTACTTATAGCAGCCCTGTACGAACCTTCTGGTTTCCCCACAGCCACTCAGTGCTTGTTATTTTTTTGTGCTTTTAGTAGCCATCGTAATGGGTGTGAGGTGGGGGTTCTGCACTGTGAACCTCCCTTCTCTTCCCTGCTCTGAGCAGGATCTGACTAATGTCCTCTCTCCCGGAGACCTCGAGGAGGACCTGACTAATGTCCTCTCTCCTGGAGACCTCAGGACATCACCTTTCTGAAGCTTAACAACAAATTCACGGATGGTGGTCTCCACCCACAGGTGGATGGTCAGACATACTGTTTAGAGATGTCAGCAGAAACCTCACACATTTGTGGATTTTAATTAAGCATTATGACCCCTTCCCTTCCCTCCCTTCCCCTCCCCCTCCTCCTTTTTTTAAATTTTTGAGATAAGAATCTCACTGTGCCACCCTGGGTAGAGCACCATGCCATCATCATAGCTCACAGCAACCTCAAACAATCCTCCTGCCTCAGCCTCCTGAGTAACTAGGACTACAGGCACCTGCCACCACACCTGGCTAGTTTTGTGCATTATTTATACACATGGGGTCTTGCTGCATTGCCCAGGCTGGTCTCAAACGCCTGGCCTCAAGAGATCGTCACATTTGGCCTCTCAAAGTGCCGGGACGACACGTGTTGGCTTATGCCTAACTTTCCCTTATTCTGACAATAGTATTTTATATTTAAAATATTCTCCCATATGGCTGACATACAAGAATTCTCTTCATATTTAAAAAGAAACATGCCGTTAAATTAAAATTTATAGGTAAACAGCATGATGTTTTCTGTAACATGTCCAGGCTGAATGGAAAACACCAACCTCTGTCACCGAGGCCGCACGGGAAATGGGTAACGGTGGTCACCAAATTAACAGAAAGCTCCACTTAGGACTAACCTGTCCCCACGGCCACCCCCAGAACCTGTTGTTTTTGTTAGAATCTTTCCCTTCCAGCCACACAGGCTTAACTCCTCTTCCTGGAAAATGTCTTTGTAAAGCCGTTGGCCCCCGTTGAAACCCCAGATGTCCTGATGTCCCTGCACTAACAATTTCCAGAAGCCCATGATGAGCTTAAAATCACAGCCCACCATGGGCTGCTGTGGAAAAGAAGTTTCCAAACAGTTTAGAGCTTTAGAAGGTCAGGTAGAGAGAAAGTCAGGAGTACCTGGGAGCCTCAGCCTGCAGGATGGAGTTGTGTTTTTTAAACACATGTAGAGGTAGTGTGTGGGTTTGTGCCAGAGGGGCCTTAGTGAGCAATGCCTGAGTTGTTCTTTCTTTTTTTTTTTAATTGAATAGTAACTATGTACATTAATGCACTTCTGCTGAGTTCTTTTTTAAAAGTGCTCTTTTGTATTAAGACAAGGAGTATCAATTTCTTGTTTTGTTTTGTTATTATTTTTTTTTTTTGCTTTTAAGTATCCATGGTAACGATAGCAGCAACACCACCCAAACTAGCCATTATAATAAAAGAAAATGTAGCAAAATGTGTGGGTTCCCTTGAAATGTGGGGGGAAGGAATGGGTTCTTGGTTCTTGCCAATGCCATGTTGCGTTCTAAGATAGATACTGTCTTTTTTTTTGTTTTGCTTTGTTTTTTGTTTTTGCTTCTAAGCAGCAACAGGACCAGAAACAGAAGCCTTGTTAAGTAAGACCGCTGCTTAGATTCTGAGCTGCTTTGAAAATGTTTCTAAGGACAAGAATGACGAAGGACTGTGCTATTATTGTGACACGGGAAAGTTATAGGGGTCATTACGAAAGTTTTGAGATAAACAAAAATCAGGAAATGTAAAACTCCAGCCACACAAACAGAAATAAATAAAGCCGTCCTAGCAACAGTGACCGGCCAAGCCAGTGGAAACTCACACCAGTGAATCAGAAAGGATGCTGTCAGCCACTGCGGTGGCTCACACCTGTGATCCCAGCACTCTGAGAGGCTGAGGCAGGTGGATCTCGTGAGGTCAGGAGTTTGAGACCAGCCTGAGCAGGAGCGAGACCCCGTCTCTACTAAAAGTAGAAAAACTAGCTGGATGTGATAGCAGGTGGCTGTAGTGCTAGCCACTCGGGAGGCTGAGGCAGGAGGATCACTTGAGCCCAAGAGTTGGAGGCTGCTGTGTGCTGTAACACCACAGCCCTGTACCCAGGGTGAAAGAGTGAGATTCTGTCTCAAAAAAAGAGAGAAAGGACACTGTCAACTGAGTTTTTTGAAAGTAAAATAAACCGTAGCACAGCCTTTCTTAAGATGTTTATAGTGACTCACACATGCACAGGTGAGAGGAAGAGGCCATAGTTTCATAGTTGATCTTTTTTTTTTTTTTTTTTTTGGCAGAGCCTCAAGCTGTCCCCCTGGGTAGAGTGCCATGGCATCACACTCACAGCAACCTCCAACTCCAGGGCTCAAGTGAGTCTCCTGCCTCCGCCTCCCAAGTAGCTGGGACCACAGGCGCCCGCCACAGCGCCCGGCTATTTTTTGGTTGCAGCCGTCATTGTTGTTTGGCGGGTCCGGGCTGGGGATTCGAACCTGCCACCTTAGGTGTATGTGGCTGGCGCCCTAGCCGGTTGAGCTATAGGCGCCGAGCCCATAGTTGATCATTTTGATCAACTAAGTTATTGTCGCAGTCAGAACTTCTGAGGTCGATTCATCAGCTGAGACCGTGACCTGAGCCTTGTCTCTGTTGCCCCTGCAGGACGTGGACCCTCTGCGGAACGCCTGAGTACCTGGCCCCCGAGGTCATCCAGAGTAAGGGCCACGGACGGGCCGTGGACTGGTGGGCCCTTGGCATCCTGATATTTGAGATGCTCTCGGGGTAAGTAGAATGTGGCAGGGGTGGGGCCGGAGGGGACACTCCACATCCATCTCCCCACCCCCAGGATGCTTCTGACTGTTTTGTTATTTCCAATATCAAGCCCCCTGATGCACTGGAAGGTGCAGATTGGCAAGTAGACTCATTTGAGTAAGAGTCAAATGCCACAGACTTGTGAAAGACCCGCTGAGATTTTTGTATCCTGTCTTCCTTAGAATATTAATCCTTTGTGTGGCTGCTTTGTTTTTTGTTTGCTTTTTGCAGGTTTTTTTGGCCTGGGCTGGGTTTAAACCCACCACCTCTGGCATATGGGGCCGGCGTCCTATTCCTTTGAGCCACAGATGCCGTCCCTGCATGGGTGATTTTTGGAGCTGGTCCTATTTAAGGGCTCACTGGGAACTGGGATGTGGGATGACTTGGGGGAAGGTGTGAAAACCTGTGTATATCTGGCTGGCTGTATCTGATCTATTTGTCTATCCACCCATCTATCCATCAATCTATCACTCATCTATCAATTCTGTCCATCCATCTCCAACTGTCTATCCATCAATCTCTTCATTCACCTATCAATTCTGTCTATCCTTCCATCAACTCAGCAACCTTGCTCATCTCTCTCCATTGATCTGTTTTCACTTTTCTATCAACTCCATTCATCTGTCCATCTATTCATTTATCTTATCTCTTCATAAATCAGTTCACTTATCAACTCTATCCATTTATCTCTGTCCTCCTGTCTGTCACCCTCTCTCTTCACAATGACCAGTCTGTCATCCATGTAGGTATCTATCTATCCATCCATCCATCCATCTTTCCATCCATCTCTCTATCCATTCATCTATCTCTCCATTTATGTATCAGTTCTGTCCATCCATTTATCCATCAATTTATCAAGCTTGTTCACCAGTGACCTGTTGTCTACTTATCTCTTAACTCTGTTTATCTGTCTGTCTGTCCATTTATCCGTGTTATCTGTCCATAAATCAGTCCACTTGTCCATCAACTCTATCCAAGCATCCCTCTCCATCTTCCTGTCTGTCACCCTCTCGATTCACACATCACCTGTCTGTCATTCACACATGCACCTGTCCATCCGTCTGTCTGCCTGTCTCTCTCCGTCTATCTGCCCATCTCTCTATCAGGGACTTACCTGTTGGTCTTTTCAATTTTGCATTTACTTAGATCAGCGGTTCTCAATCTGTGGGTCGTGACCCCCTTTTAACAATGAAAATACATTGCGGCATTAGGAAGGTTGAGAAGCACTGACTTAGATGTCTTTAACGAATCCTAAAGAACCACGTGTCTCATGATGCATCCAGGTGCGTGAAGTTCAGGCAGATCAAAAGGTCGGCAGTGGGTGGCGCCTGTGGCTCAAAGGAGTAGGGCAGCCCCATATGCCAGAGGTAGAGGGTTCAAACCCAGCCCCAGCCAAAAACTGTGGGGAAA